GCCCCTTGAGGCCATCGATCTCGGACTGCTGGTCAGCAAGGAACTTCTCAAGTTTGTTCTGGACCGACTTGGGCAGCTTGTTCAGTTCCGTGCGCTCCAGGACTTGCTGCAATACCGCCGCCATGTCGATCGGGCCGGGGACCGTGGCGGCAGCGGCCGACGGAGCAGAAACGGAGAAGAAAGGCGAAGACGAAGAGGACCCAGAAGCCTGGGCTGCCGCCTCCGCCACCTCGCTCGGCGTCTCGCGCGCGCCCGCCCGACGGAGACTCACGCGGCGGGACCCTGGGAAATCGAGTCCTGCGTTAACTGCTGCACCAGACGCGCCGCAACGCCCGTGTCCGCAGTGCGCGCGCAATCACCGGAAGCTGTGCACCCTGGGAATCCGAGTTCAGAGGCAGTCTCTGACCCCTGTCGTGCACTCCGCTTTCCAGCCCCCTTTTCAACCCGCTTCTAGCCGCGTAGGCTTCAGGGAAACGTAGTTTTCCCCAAACCCTTCCGTGAGCCCAATTCTGCACCACCAAGTCCGCTTTCTCCTTTCTCCCCGCCCCCCGGCTCTCCTTGCCTGCCGCGCGACCACTTATCCGCGAGGTGGCGCCACATAGTACCCGTTAACCTACGTTCCTCCCTGAAGAGGAGGGCGACCTTACTGTCATAGCTCCGGGATGCCATGGGTCGTCCTCTTTGGCGGCTTTTAGACACTGGGCCGCTAGAGGGCATCGGTCCCGGCAGGGCCGGACGGCAGACGCCAGGCTACCGCCACGCTCTTAATGGCGCCCGGAAGGGGGCGGGGTGGCGACCGCAGTCGCTTTGGCTGAGGCGCTGCGGTGAAAGGAGGGGGCCAGCGTGCGTCATCAATCTGAGCCACCTGACTCCAGAGACCCCGGGTGTGGAGTAGGAAGTGAGGTGCGGGAAGTTCGTCGCTTTCTGATGAATTCATTGACTGTGGAATTGGGACCGGAGTGGAATCTGGTCACTGGAGGCTGGTACTTGCACTCTAAACACCTTTCTCAGGTGGTCTGACAGTTCGACAGATTTGTCTGCCACGCGTGCACAGTCTGAGTACAGGTGAGTCAGCCTGAGGGTGGAATCCGCGTGTGTGTGTGTGTGTGTGTGTGTGTGTGTGATGTGTGTGCACTCGGGCACAGAGAACTGCCTTTTCAAGGAGGACAGAAAGGGATAGAGTATAGGAAATATATGGACGGTCACTCCTGTGCGACACACTCAAGTCCAGTTGTGAGACTTATCTTACTTAGATTTTTTGGTTTTTTGGTGGCGGAGTTGGTAACGGTGATTTAATAGGAATTTAAGGAGCTCGGTTTATTTTCCAGGAAGAGGATTTTAAAAAGCCAAGAGGAGTTTGAGTGTAGCTTTTATTTGTATGTTTTAAGGTAACGTTACAGAAAATGTTGCCTTGTGTTTATATTGTTAAAATTGAAAAACTTTTGGAACAGAAGTTGAACACGTTCGTTCTTAAAAACCACTTCTCACCCTGCCACCGTAACAGAACTACTTGTTTCCAAATTGTAGTTCTGTGACTTCTAAGAAGAATCCGTAGATTATTTCATGTTTGATTACTCTTCTACAAGAATTTGTTAAATTCTTTATTGAAAATAAAGCATTCCTAATGTCATCCTCCCTACAATTCCCACAGTAGCAAACCTTTGAGAATAGCAGTAAGGAGCTTAAGCTTGTTTCTTTCCTCCAAAATATTTTATATAAGTACTTTAATTAAGGTTGCTGGTATGTGCAGTACTGTATTATGTCCTAGGCCCACAATATTATCATTATTGATCTACTCTTTGGAAAATGCAGATGTTCTGTACTTGGACTTAGAGAATCCTAAAATTAGGTTTTCCGACCTGCTATGATCCAAATTCTTTATTTTGTAGACTAGGAAAACAGAGTCCAGGGAAGTTGCGTGGTCTCAAGTCAGCGTTTGGACAACTTGCAAAGCTTCTGCTGATACACAGCATTTCAGGAAAAATTGAACTGTATAAGAGAAGATCTACATTTTTATTAGCGTCCTTTATAAAGTATGGTTAGCTACATTTCCAAGTTTTGAAGGAGCACTAAAGAAAAAAAATATCCGACAGTCAACCAGATTTCATAACCCAAAGATTTTCATCTTTCTGTTGCATTCAGTTTCTTACACATTAACGTGACTAGTAGATGACACCTTGGAAAAAGTAAGATTAGAAAGTTACATATCATAACCTTGGAGTCACTGTTAACTGCTATTTCTTGTAAGAATTAAGAATTATTTAGGGCAGAAGGAAAAAGAGTAGAATAGCATGATGAAGTAAAAGAAAGTTTAATACACAGAAATGCATACCGTAAGGTGGTAAAAGTGGAAAGCCCTTAACTTTATAGAGGCATTAATGATTTAGACAGGCAGTCCTAGACTTCACCAAAAAAAAAAAAGTGCAAACCTGAGAGCTAAGAAGACATTTAATGCATTTTGAGACAAAATCAAACAGGAACTTTGAAAAGACCATCTAATAGGCCATTTCAAACTGGAAGCGATTCTCTGGGCTTTAGTTTTAGAGTAATGCAAGTCATTGTGACTGACAGTTTATTTTACTGATGTCAGATAAGCCACCCCAACACATCTAGAGTTGCCTGGATTTTGTTGTCCTGAATAAGATTGGGATTTTTTGCAGGACCTAAGTGACTATTACCGCTATTCAGAATGCTGCAACTGTGTTTCTTCAGTCTCTCTGTGGCTATTTTATAGCTTTTTGTTTCTCCCACACTGAATGTGAACTCCTTGAGATCATCATTTATTATTTCCTACCTCTTTTATTCAGCATCTTTGATTTTAAGCTACAGAAACTCAAATCAAAGGAGCATGAGCCAGTCAGAGGAATATGCTGATTTTCATCCCTAAACTGGCGAGAGGGTAGAACAGGAGTCCCCCTTAGTGAAAGTTTAATTGAGAGACTGGGTATGACTCCTTAGTATGAGCACAGTATTTAAGAATACTATTTAAGAAATGGATTTTAGAGCCAGACTGCCTGAAGTGAAATCCTACCTTTGCCACTTACCAGCTTTATTGCTTGGGCAAGTTATGTTACCTTTTTTCGTTTCAGTTCCTAAATCTATAAAACAAGAGTGTATATATGTCCCCTGCCTCATGGGGGTTTTTCTGAATATTAAATGTCACCATATGTTAAGTACTTAGAACAATGCCTTACACAAAATGGAAGCTCTACAAATATTTGTTATTATTGTATTGCTGTTTGTCTACTTCCATCATTCCAGTTGTACTCTGAGTTACTCAAGGGCAGAGGCCAAGTAGTATTCATCTTCGTGCCATCCCACTTGGCACAATTTCTTGCACATAGTAGTTCTTTATAGTGTGCTTACTGAATACATGAATTTGATTCCCTTTACCTCCCATTGAGCAACTCAGAAATTATCATCTTTTCTGTTTTAGAAATGAACACAGTGAGGCTCAGCAATAAATTACCAAGGATGATACAACTAAGGAGTAATAGATCTAAATAAGAAATCAGGTGTGTTGGCTACTAGTAGTTTAGTGTCCTCTTCATTATCTGAGGTATGGGAGTAGGTTTTATCGCTCATGTCAACTCTGGTTGATTGGTAGTCATTTCCTGCAACACTCTGTTGAGAATGCTGAAGCTACATTCAAACTTTGCAAGAAAGAATACCCTGTTGAATAAGCAATCACTGTAAGGTATGGGGTAGTATCAGGGTAGTACAACTTCTGTCTTTATACTACCCCAACGAGGAGAACATTGCAAATTATATTTTTTGCCTAAAAATGCTCTATATTTTTTCTTATAATTTAGGAGGTTGAATTAGTTCTTAATAATGGGAAGAACCTACATTGTAGAAGAGACTGTTGGCCAGTATCTTTCAAACATCAGTCTCCAAGGAAAAGGTTTTGTCTCTGGTCTTTTAATAGGACAGGTATGTATCTTTTCCTATGTATTTACTGAGAAAGCAAATTTGTTTATTTAAAGTTAAAATATGCTATTTAACAATAAATTCAAGTTAGGGGATGGAGGGATGGAATTAAGAAGAATAATGTAGCCCAGGTTTGCCCAAGTCAGAACACATTCCCTTTTGACAATGTAAAAGTAACTTATAAGGTAGACACTGCAAAATTAGAATTTTACTGACTAGATTATTCATGTTTTATTGTCTTTCCAAAGGGATTTTTGTGCCCCTTTAATCTTTAATTCCTGGTTGTCCCATTTTTTACAAAGGTAGCTTTTTATAATTTTATTTCTAGTTTGTCTTATTTCAGACTTGTAGCAAATATAGGTCGTATATTTTATTGTATATTATCGTACCCATTTATTGAATTTTTTTTTAATATTGATTCAGTGGAGATTGAGGGAAAGGGACTGAGAGAAATTTGGATGTTACACAAATTTTATTTCCCTCTTAGAGTTAAGGCTCAAAAATCAAACCAAAATGGAACAGATATTTGGGCAGTTACTTTACAAAGCATAAGCACCCACTGATATATTATAATTGAAGGAAGAATGCGTTAATCAGCAGGGAGGACTTGTCAGCAGTACACAGAAATGAAAAAAGGGGAGTCACACAAACAAACTGGCTACATACATCTAAACACTATTTAGGGGAGACTGTACTCTGGTCCAAAGATTAATTTTGAGGCCTAATAGCAAATAAAACCCTATTGGGGGCAGATTTCTTTCTGGATATTTTAACATGATGCCTTAGAACCTTCAAATTGGATAATTAACTTGTTCTGATTCTATCCACATTCCCAAGCTACTTTCTCTTACAATTTGATGCCCTATGTTGCCTACTTATAAAGAATGCACCATGCAGAGGACTTATACGTGTTCATGGTATTCTACTTTTAGCATCATTCTGAATGATCTTAGGTAATGTCAGTGTGGCCCTCAGAGACAGGTGCATTCTCAGAGTTTTCACGAATCCGATTTCTTAACTTGTAAGACAGAGGGCAGACCCTGCACTGTTCACCCAGGTAATACCACCCTCTTAGGCTTCTCATTAGACAGCCAGACAACCTCTCCTGGCAACAATCTGAACTTCTTTTAGATTCACGTTACTTAACATCTAGTATGGGGTTCTTTTTGCTAGGAACAGAACTGATCAGTAAAGGTGAAAGGTCAGGGAGAAATACCCTCTTCCAAACTTGCCTTACAGCACATAGGCTGTTTCTAGAGCTCAGCAAAACCACCATCTTACGTATAAGTCTCCCACAATTTAGGGAGAATTCCAATCTCTCTTCATGCTGCCTTTTCATTCCTTTCAGTATTCTACATGCTTCTTCTTTCTCTTTATTCCAGGATTCATCACTTTTCTTGCCTTCCCCTCAAGCTTTCAGGCTTGCCTGTCTCCTACTCCTAGGGTCAGTTTCTTTTTCTTTTCAAAATCATAGATTTTATGAAAAGAAAGAGCTTTCTTAATCAGCACCTACCTTTTCCTTTTGTGCACTTCAATGTAACTTTCTGGAAATAACTTTTATTGAAATAATTTCTCTTCCTTTATTTTCTGTTCCAGGATGACACTAGCGATTAGAATTTCAGGTCATGTGTGAGGATAACATCATGCTAACTTGTATTTTTACTCTTTCTTTATAGGAAATTTTCACTGTAATGAGACTGAGCTATTAAATTTTTCCTAAATTTATCTTTAGGTTTCCCACTTCTGGTTGGCATTTAATTGCTATTAAAACTGAGGAACATAAATCTAATATCACTTCACCTTTGTTTTTCTGTGGACACACATGAACAAGTTCCCCACTATCATTGTTTTTATGAAAGTAAGATGAACAAGGTCATTTGTTGCTTTATTTTATTGGGTTTTTATATTTGTTGAACTGTCTAATCTGTTCCAGTAAGCCATTTTTAAGGACCACTGCATGATTCACATTCAGGTTGCCCAAACAGATAAGGAGCTGGTATTAAATATATTAAAAGATAAATAACATGTGAGGAAAATGTTGTAAGGCTATCCATGAAAATCGTTTTCTCTGTAGATTCTGGTATAATACAGGTATTAACAATTTAAGCTGCTATAAATATTACTCAGTTTTTGCACGTCATAAGGGCTTTGCATTCCTCAGTCAGTTATCACCCTAATAAGCTTTTCTAATTTGTTTTTAAGTGTTCTTCACAAAAGGATTACGTGATTCTTGCCACTAGAACGCCACCCAAAGAGGAACAAGATGAGAGCTCCAAACATTCCAAAGCTAAGTTGGATAACTTGGATGAAGAATGGGCCACAGAACATGCCAACCAGGTCATCACGTTTGTTTCTTTATATAGTTGTTTGTGTTTATTGACTAACAAAATAAAAGTACCTTATCCTCAGGTTACTAGACTAGGATTTCAGAGTACTCATTCTTACGTTTTCAAAACTTGGGTAGTATGTCAAAAATAGAAGTATTTTCTGCTCTGTTTCCTCCATGATTATATTTTTTATTTATTGATTACTTGCATCTAGTTTTTAAAAAAGCATTTTCTTACTTGAAGTTGAGTAATCCACCCAAGATTCATGTAATAGGTAGTGAAACTGGGATTTGAACCCAGGTGGTGTGACTTGAAAGCCTTTGATCTTGTACACTATGCTTTTCCATTGTTAACTTTTATCTGTTGTGTTTTTTAACCTATATCCTGTTATTGGTCATTTACCTTATTTCCAATTTTTCCTTATTTTAAAATAATACTAGTTATTGGTAACATTGTTGCTGGTCAGATTGTTTTAAAGACTTAAACCAGGTACTGAGGAAATAAAATGATGGTTAAATTTTTCTTTAATGTCCTTAGAATTTATATTTTAAGCAAAGTGAAAGACATTATTACCAAAACAAATTGTAAGAGAAGTGAATAAAAATAGGATAGTACCATAGGAATATAGAGTGGGGAATGATTAAATATCTGTCAAAGGTTGGATTCAAACAGCTTCACACTTGAAAGATGAATAGGACTTTGCTAGTAGAAGTCAGGGAGCACATTGAATGCACAAAGGACAGTGGATAAATGACCCAATGGCATGAAATTTAAAGGTATGTTAGAATAGCACGCAATTGGGTGTAATTGAAGCATGGTGTATATAAAAGAATGCTTTTAGGCATAAGACTGTATGGGGCCAGTTTATGGATGGTTTTGAAGTGTCATTCTAGGAAGGAAGGAGTTCTTTTGGAGCTAGTAGCTCTATGGTAGACTTTCAGAGCTCCCTATTTTGAGAAGGATTGAGAAATAATCCTGCCAATAATTGAGAAAGTAATTGCAGTGCCCTGGTACAGTGTAAATGGAGAGTAGAGGGATTGGAGCGAGAGAGAGCAGAAAATATAGTTACAGTAATAGTTCAAAAAAAGGTGACATGAGCTAGTGACTAGACTCTAAGCTTCCTGAGGATGGGGTCACGTCGTTTTTGTTTATGGCCGTATCCTTAGTGCCAGGCATAGTGTTCCCATGGTTTATGATGAGAACTCCAAAATGTTGGATAAGTGAATGGATAAATAAGCAAACTAAAGCAGTGGGCTAAAGCTTCATTGCCAAAACATTTCAGAGAAAGAGCTAGTATTAAGATGATTCAGTGACCAAGTAGATTGGCAGTAAAAAGAGATTGTGAGAGAGTTGCTAAAGATTATTGAGATTTTTTTTTTTAGCCTGGGTCTAGGAAGATGGCGTTGCCATTACATGAAGAGGAAACAGGTTTGGGGTGAGTCAGAATGATGAGTAAATTCACTTAAAAGTAGTTATTGAATGGATTATATCATCCAATAAAGTATGTTAAAATAAGGTAAAAATAAAATTATTTCCTTCTCCAATTATCTTTAAATCTTCAAACACACACATGTTTATCTGCATTTGTGATGGGGGGTAGTATGTAGTTATATTTTTGAAAAATGCAATAAATATTTAATACCATCTTCTAATGAAATATTAAATATTTTAAACTTATATTTCCAATGGTTTGTAAATAACTTTCTACTCTAATTTTGCTTTTGGCCTTCTGTAAAATTACATACCTGTATCTATATCTATGTCTAGTCTATATACATCTATACACACAAACATAAAATTTATGTAGTAAAATAGATAATCTTTTTGCCTCTAGCAAGAAATGGTTAATTTTATTTGTTGATGATTTTTAAAAGATGTGCAAGTTCCCCATGCTAAGTATGAAAACTTTATTCCTTATTTATGTATGTCAAGCTTGTGTCACTGTAGTAAATAGAATTTATGAAATCAGAGGGAACCACCAGCAGACATAATGCAAATATATTAGGGGTTAGACTATGGTATCTAATTTTTTGAAGACTTAACTTTGTGATCAGTTTGCTCATACATTAAGTACATAAAAGGTAACCAGAGCACTATGAGTATAGATGGTAGAAAAGAATACATGTGGCACTAAGAACTAGCCACAATGATGTGGAAGGAAAATCACAGATATTATGCAGGACAAACTGGTAGGATGTGTCAAAATCCTTAAAAATATGTATGACCCTTTAACCTAGTTATCCACCTAGTTATCCACCTCAGGAGATTTATTATAAGCAAATAATCCTGTGAACACAGAAACTTGCTAGGATTTTTAACCAATATTATTTTAAGGTACAGAAAAATTGGAAATAATATAAATGCCCAATATCAATAAGAAGGTTTTAAAAATTGAGGTAAAGCTAAACAACAGGAAACAATGGAGTTTCAAGCTGAACCCCCTCTGCTCAAATCCCAGACTCTGCTGAATATTATAGGGATACAAAGGTAGTTGAGAATTAACTTCTTCCATTAAGGAGCTCCCAGATCAACTAGTAAGGTTCAGACATAACCATAGTACAGGTTCATGTGATAAGCTCCATGGGAAAACTACACTGAGGTCCTGCAGGAGTTTGGAGATCAAAGGATCAGGGAAGGCAGCTTCCTCAAGCTGACTTCGAGGTATTCAGTAGAGTTCAGGCATGTAGACGTGTAAGAGAAAGTCTTTTCAAGGCTGAGTGAGCAGCCTGAGTAAAGGTATAGAGTCAGAAAGCCTAACCATATATGTGGAGAACAGTGAGAAGTTTGTGATTGATGCTTGAATATTTCATGGGAAGTAGTATCAAATGAGGCTCTGAATATCAGATCAGCCAGATTTTAGAGAGTCTGCAATACCAGTCTAAGATAAAAATTTGTATTTTATTTAGCTGATAGTGGAAGCCCTTGAAAAATTTTGGAGATATTTTAGTTTTCGATCTTTGGAGAAAGTAGTTTATTTATTGATGTAGCTAAAGAGTGTCATTATTAAATGGTTTTATTTACAAAGTAGTTTTAAGGTAAAAAGTTAAGGACAGTCTAGGACGATTGTGTGCATAATAACACCCCATTCATCTTGGTTTTCATCCATTTTGGCTGCATTGGGTCTTTGTTGCTGCGCGCGGGCTTTCTCTAGTTGCGGTGAGCGGGGGCTACACTTCGTTGTGGTGCGCAGACTTCTCATTGCGGTGGCTTCTCTTGTTGTGGAGCACAGGCTCTAGGTGCGTGGGCTTCAGTAGCTGTGGCACATGGGCTCAGTAGTTGTGGCTTGTAGGCTCTAGAGCGCAGGCTCAGTAGTAGTGGTGCACAGGCTTAGTAGCCCCATGGCATGTGGGATCTTCCCAGACCAGGGCTCGAGCCCATGTCCCCTGAATTGGCAGGCAGATTCTTAACCACTGTGCCACCAGGGAAGTTCCCATTTCTCAATATTTTAACCTTTTTTTTCAAAGCCCCTACCTCAATGCTTTGCATATAGTTGGTACTAGGTAGGCATTTGCTGATTTAATATTTAGCTTCTCAAACACAAAAGATTGCATATAATGTCAAATGCTTTTGTTAGCTAATACTATATTTCTGTTTACAGGTATCCAGAATGCTACCAGGGGGACTTTTAGTTCTTGGAGTATTTATTATTACAACCTTAGAAATGGGAAATGAATTTCAAAATACCCTACATAGAGTAAGTCTGAAATATCAAAAATTCTTAAAGTTATATCTTAATTGATTATACTTGTACACAGTGATCCTAGGCATATTTAGATTAATTCTCTATGCTGGGATTATGTTGAAACAGCTTTTTCCACCCAATTGGTTGGTATCTTGAGTGTAATACATGTCAGTATTTATATTTTCAACCAATGCTACATATTTTTAAAATAGTCGTTATTTTAAAGATAACATTTTACTATTGTGAAACAAGTTATAATGGTTTAACAATTTTTCTTGTGCCATAGCAGTATTCTGCTAGACCTTCCATTTAGTTCCAAGTGATTGCTGTAATGTGAAATTAATAGGTTTTGCAATTCTTCACCTCTTCAATTCTCTCAGGATCCTGAGAGTAAGACATAAAATAACAAGTCAGATACTTATTCTTTATTTCTGGACCGAGTATCTATTATGAATCCCCTGCTTTTTGTTTAATTCCTATGTCAGTCATTTGGGTAACATGGTTTACAAGTAAATATGAGGGTCCACAAGCTGTTTCCCCTTAAGCCCAGACCTAAAGCAAACTCTGTGCAGCCAGTTTTCATCTCTTTTAGTACTCAAGATCCAAATAAGCCTTCAAAAGTTATTTTCCACCCCAAGAGAGAAGACCTCATTATCTTGAGAAGTGAAAAACCCCACAGAATCCCCCTAAACCTTTTTCTAGTAAAAAGTGTGCAGCTAAAAATCCAGGTGCTACAGATTCTTCCAGTTTTGTAACATTCTCTCCCATCAAATATCCCACCTTCAAACCTTTGATATTTGTACTTATGGGGTTAAAGGAAGAAAATGGTGATAATCCCTCCCCTGGCAAGTTATTCAACCTTCTGCCTTTTTTACTGTTTTAAATAAATGTACCTCTTTCACAATCATTCATCCTATTTGGCATTTTGAAATGTAATCTATATCCATGTGTATTTAATAGCATTGGCTGTGCATCCTCTTGTGGTTGGGTTGAATGTGGGCTCAGTGCTAGACAGATACAGTAGATCCTCCTTCCTCTTGCTTTTTCTATCTCTTTTGTTTCTAAGAAGCATGTAAGATTTTAGAAATGCCCTATTTCAGAAATTTTAGCATTTTTTTTTTTTTTTTTCCTTGCGTTATGCGGGCCTCTCACTGTTGTGGCCTCTCCCATTTGCGGAGCACAGGCTCCGGACGCGCAGGCTCAGTGGCCATGGCTCACGGGCCCAGCCGCTCCGCGGCATGTGGGATCTTCCCGAAACGGGGCACGAACCCGCGTCTCCTGCATTGGCAGGCGGACTCTCAAGCACTGCGCCACCAGGGAAGCCCAATTTTAGCATTTTAATTATCAATTTAATTAATTTAACAATTTAATTAATTGTTTCCATTGACCTGCATTGAGGGACAATATATGAAGTAACCTTATAAAACTTGTCACTGTCTCCCATAAGGTCATTGCTAAGAACTTTGTTTGTTATATTACATAATATTGTCTTTGAAGAAATTTATTTTGATATCATTATTAAGAAAGTTATGCCTCCATCTCTGGGCTATTGTAAATAGAGCTGCAATGAACATTTTGGTACATGACTCTTTTTGAATTATGGTTTTCTCAGGGTATATGCCCAGTAGTGGGATTGCTGGGTCTAAGTGTCCATCGTCGGATGAATGGATAAAGAAGATGTGGCACATATATACAATGGAATATTACTCAGCCATAAAAAGAAACAAAATTGAGCTATTTGTAATGAGGTGGATGGACCTAAAGTCTGTTATTCAGAGTGAAGTTAGTCAGAAGGAGAAAGACAAATACCATATGCTAACACATATATACATAATTTAAGTAAAAAAAATGTCATGAAGAACCTAGGGGTAAGACAGGAATAAAGACACAGACCTACTAGAGAATGCACTTGAGGATATGGGGTGGGGGAAGGGTAAGCTGGGACAAAGTGAGAGAGTGGCAAGGACATATATACACTACCAAACGTAAAATAGATAGCTAGTGGGAAGCAGCCGCATAGCACAGGGAGATCAGCTCAGTGCTTTGTGACTGCTTAGAGGGGTGGGATAGGGAGGGTGGGAGGGAGGGAAACGCAAGAGGGAAGAGATATGGGGATATATGTATATGTATAACTGATTCATTCTGTTATAAAGCAGAAACTAACACACCATTGTAAAGCAATTATACTCCAATAAAGATGTAAAAAAAAAAAAGTTATGCCTCTTCTGATCAATTGTTTAGCTTATGGACTGTGTGAATTAGGGAACTGATTGGGTTTCTCTGTGCACATTATTTTTAGAAAGCTTAGAGCCAAATTTATGAACCCTCTCCCTATATAAGGTATGCATTTTTATAATTCTTACATGTGGCATAGATTTTTGTCACTATTTCTGATTTTTTTCACTTAGAATTTATGTTATTACTATATTTTATGTGCCCTTATGTATTATTACCTTACATCTTTTGAGACATTTAAATAAGAAATGCCAAATAGGTGACACGCTCCATTTTTATAGGTTAAAAATCACTTGTCACTTCTCATTCTAATTAAAGTCTTTATTCTGTACTTCACTTAAATGTTAGTTGCCCAAAATCATGTTCAGTTGATCATTAATGGCAGTGAATTATACTTTTTTAATACCTAATTTTTATATATCCCTAAAAATGGAATCTAAATGGTTAATAATCAGTTTCACTCTTTCTTTTGAGAAAAAGGAAATTTAATGATAGCATCATGGAATTTTAAAGCTAGATGAGTGCTTAAGGATATTATAATTGTCTTTTTCTGCACTCTCTTATTTTATTTTGTATTCAGTTGATGTGTTTTCCTCTCTTTCAGCTAGTATTTGCTGTGGAAAAATCTATGAATAAAAAGAGACTGTGGAATTTCACAGACGAGGAGGTCTCAGAACGAGTGACACTTCACTTTTGTTCTTCTACAAAAAAGTATCTTTTATTTAGGTGTTTATGTTCTAAAGTATATGATACCAAAATAATGTTCCTGCAGGTTTTTTCCCCAAACATTTATTTAAGTCATCATTTAAAAAATAGGCTTAGTTTGTACGTTTTTCTGTAAATAACACATAATTCGGACTGCCAATAATAATGGTAATAATGGTTGTTAATCATGTATCAGGGTTGTAAAGAGTTTGAGAGAGGTGGCAAGGACTGGGCATTCTGAACTCTTTACCAGCTCTCCACCCCTGTACATTGAAATACACTAGGGCCCCTACAGAAAGGTACAGCTTAGGCAAAGTAATGCTTTTATTTTGTTTACCTCCAGTTCCTATAGATAAAATGTTCAATGCAAAGCACAGCTGCACTGAGCTGGCAATTTTTATATCTTTGGCCAAGATCAAGTGACACTAAAAGCCAATTATAGGGCCTTCTTAGCTTCTTTCCTCTACATATTACCAGGGCAAGTACGTCCCAAGCATGAGGCAGCCTCACCAAGGGAGTGAAGCATTGCAAGGGCCCAATAAATTAGGACCTGCAAAAAGACAATATTCAAAAAGTGATCATTCCTGTAGAAGGCGGGCTGTTAACTCCTTTGGTATTTAACTAGAAAGTTTCATGTACAGACCCTTTGACCCAGTAAACATTCCCAGACTTGACTTCATTCAGAACAGCACTCCTATTTGTTAAAAAGGGTCTGTATTTGAGGACAGTTTTGTAAGAGCTATCATTCTATTCATTGTGATTAGCAGGATTTATAAGCAGTAGGAAATAGTTTACAATACCACAAGTATTATAGTCAGAGGAATTTGTATATATGTATGTATATGTATTTACACAAACATATACATACATATATATGTGTATACATATCTTTAAGTGTCATGCCATGAAGTGGTATGATTTTGTAAAAACTCTTGGATGCATATACTTTATTTTTTGATGGTTTATTTTCTTTTGGTTATCAAGAATTGCTTTCTTATTTTTTTGGTTATTTCTATCCTTAATTAATAAAGAATATTTTGTCGAACTTACGATATCCATAATCCAAAGGTAAGAAAAACTGCTCTTTAAAGATTTTTCTGTGTTGCAAACTATTTTTAAATAAAATTCAATTTTTAGTTTTAATAATTTTCAGTGCTATCTCTTCCTGTTAATGTCCACGACCACCTGTAGTTTTTTATTTTGAAATATGATTAATTTCACTACAGACAAGGACAATTTGTGTTTTTTTTTATTGTTAAAATATTTTTGTTAAGCTCTCCCTACCTTGTTTATGTGTCTGGTATTATATTTGAGAGGCTAGCAGTAAAAGTGTCTAGGCTTGTGGGAGCCACAGTCCCCAGTAAACAAGCTGTCTGTACTCAGCAGGATCCAAACTAACATTTTGCCAAGGTGTCTAAAAAGCAATGTGAGGGACTTCCCTGGTGGTCCAGTGGTTAAGACTATGCTTCTACTGCAGGGGGGCACAGGTTCGATCCCTGGTCAGGGAACTAAGATCCCACAGGCCATGCAGTGTGGCCAAAAAAAAAAGAGAAGCAGTGTGAAAAAGTAATGCAGTATTCTGTTAGCAAGGATAGGACAGAAAGGAAAATGTCTGGCACCTAGTATTTGCTCAGTGATTATTTACTCTCCATCAGAAGCTTCAGAATTGATACTGTTGAAGCTACATGTGGGACCTACAGGACCAGAGGACTTGTCAGGATTTTAAGCAAGCCTTTTGCTGGGCGAGGGAGTTGCCAAGATTGCCTGGGATGTGCTGAAGAATACTGAACTTTTAATGCATGCTTTATTTTTATTTAGTTCTAACCTATTACCCTTTCATGAAGGAATTTGGCCAAATATATTAGATAACAGCTTGTATAAGTTACTGGGTTGTACATTTTATGATGTTTTATTGCTCCGTGTGTTTTACGTAAATCACATATTTTATGTTTTTCCCCCTTTGCTAAAGAGTTCTGCAAAACCAGCAGATTGGAAGTATCAAAATGGACTATCAGCTTCATGGCTTTCTTTAGAGTGTACAGTATATATTAATATTCATGTCCCACTGTCTACTACTTCTGTCAGCTATACTCTGGAGAAAAATACAAAGGTATCAGGGTAAAATGAATTTTCTTTAGTGATTGCTGAATAGATGATCTGCCTTTATTCTGGTTGTCTATGCCATTCATTTTATAATCCTCAGAAACTGCATTCTAATTATAATAATATTGTTATGGGTAACTAATTTGTTACTCTACCCAGATTAAAAAATTAGAGGTGGGACATTGTTATCATACTAATGTATTTAGCATAATAAGTGCTCCATAAATATTTGTTAATTAACATGTAATTATGTACATTGTAAAATATAATTATGTAGGAAGATGTACTGTTTGGTCTTTTTGCTTTCTCTTCAACTTTAGTTTTTTTTTAAATTTATTTCATTGAAATATAGTTGATTTACAATGTTGTGTTAATTTCTGCTGTACAGCAAAGTGATTCATATATTCTTTTTCATATTCTTTTTGATTATGGGTTATCATAGGGTATTGAATATAGATTGAGAGTTTGGGATTAGCAGATGCATACTGTTATATGTAGAATGGATAAACAACAAGGTCCTACTGTATAGCACAGGGAACTATCTTCATCTTTACTTTTGTTTTTCATCTTCCAGTTCTTTTTTGTATTTCTGTACCATTCTTTTGTTCATAACTTATTTCTCTTATTTTTTTCCTATTGAAAGAGGTAAATGGAACTTGCTTATTTTTTCCTCTTTAATACTGCTTTATATATTTGTTTGAGGCTCTTTCTCTTTTCTCACTTTTTTTAAGATAACAGGAATTATTGAATTTTATTTGACTGTGGTTATTAAGTCTCCTAGGTCTGTGACATAAATGTTAGTTTGGGAAGAAGATTAGAAAAACTATTATTAAATATGGGTGAAGTGCCAAAAATTGGGGATATACTTTTTTGTTGTTTATGATAATTGAATTTAAATGCCATATTGCTGATACTTAGGGATTTTTAATATTTCAGTATACTAGGTAGAAAAAAGTTGACTCGAGGGAGTTTGAGATGGCATTATATTTGAATGATATCCATGTTGTGTTTCTTTTAAGAATGGACTTATACACTGGGCCAAGCAAATAGAAAATAATATTTATTTGATAAATGGACAAGTTAAAGATGAAGATTGTGACCTATTAGAAGGACAGGTGAGTTCAGAGAAAATCATCTTACTTATGAAATTATTTGTGCTTAAGGAAAAGTAAAAGATGACTTATCTTTAGTTCTTTAGGCCTTGCCTTCATGAAAACAATTCATCTACTTTTTATTTCTAAGGTCTTTTAAAACTAAAATGCAAATGTTTTTCTCAGAAAATGATAGGAGATTATTTCTGAAATCATAGGAATTTTGAAACCTAAAGGAGAGAGTGTCATCTAAATAACATCTAATTTCTACAATGTAAACTGCTTGCTTAAAACTAAAGTCATGTTCTGCCCTGATAACAGTTTAAAAACTAAGTTTGGCCATTTTATAGGAGGGTTCTATATGGGCTTCTAAAATATCTTTGATTTGAAGAGGAACTTTGGTGATCTCTCCCTTTAGAGCAGGGATCAGTGAACTTAATATAAAAAACCAAATAGTAAATATAGGCTTTGCAGGCCATGTGTTCTCTCTTACAACTGGCCAGCTCTGCTGTTGTAGCATGAAAGCAGCCATAGACAATATGTAAATGACTGATCCTGGTTGTGTTCCAGTAGAACCGTATTTACGAAGACTGGTGGCAGTCTGGATTTGACCCATAGGCCATAGTTTGCCAGTCCTTGCTTTAGAGGAATAAAAGTAGGAGATTAATGGTTTTTAAGAGTGCACGTTGATTGATGTAGATGACACAAAGTTACACATCTATAGAAAAAGCTAAAATAAAATAATAAGACCTTTTTTCCCTCTGGGTTACTTAGTGTATGTTGGATAGTCCCTAAATTGTCTTTTATGTTCCACTCCAACCTCAACAATCTAATTTTTTAAATTTTTGTGTTATTTCAGAAAAAATCTTCTAGAGGAAATACTCAAGCAACTAATCATTATTTTGATGTCAGAGTGCTAACACAGTTGGTAAATATTTTAACATACTCCTTATCTAAAATTAAAATACAGTATTTCTTAGAATAAGCTTAATGAAATTGTTTCTGTTTTTATGGTGATTGTTAGAGAGTCAAAGAATTTTAGAGACGTAAAGGACTATAAAAAATGTTCAGTTCTAAGAAAGTTATTCCCAAGAAACATTTTAATAAAATCTATTTGGGTCTATTGCCTCAATCCTATTAAAATTTTAACATCAAGTAGATAGCAATTAGGAAAAAATGTATATATGTATACATACACATATATATGTACACACATATACATATATGCATGTGTATGATATTTGGTGTTGTAAGTTTTATGAGCAAAGTTGCAATTCTTAACTTAAAAATAAGACGTGTGCACAGATGTGCCAAGAGTTGTTATATACCTAATTTGAAGCGTATTTATACCTCTGATTTGACAGAACCCACACAGTATTAGCAAGGTTTATGTTTTTATATGGTTGTTTTAAATTACACATCTCTTTTCTGGGATTTAAAGTTACATAATTATTCCTAAAAGTATGCATACTTTTGATTTTAATCCTGCTGGAAATTATCCTAGAGGCCAGATAGAGTATAAAGTACATCCATGTTTTTAGAAAACTTTTCATTTCAATATTATACTGAAGGGACTTCCCTGGTGGCGCAGTGGTTGAGAGTCCGCCTGCCGATGCAGGGGACACGGGTTCGTGCCCTGGTCCGGGAAGATCCCACATGCCGCGGAGCTGCTGGGCCCGTGAGCCATGGCCGCTGAGCCTGCGCGTCCGGAGCCTGTGCTCCGCAACGGGAGAGGCCACAACAGTGAGAGGCCTGCGTACCAAAAAAAAAGAAAAAAAAAAAATTACACTGAAAATGTTGAAACAGGGAAATACTACCAGGACTTATATATTTTTTTAACTGAATAAAATAGACTCAAAAGCAGTTTGTCATATGAGGATGCTTTAATTTCTTCTTTTCCTTTTCTGTGTTTAGCAATAGAACATTACTAAATTGTTGTTGGACTTATGCCACTAAACATTTCTCAATTTCTCTTCTCAGTGTCTTAAAGGTACTTGTAGTCTTCAGTTTTCTTCCTCCTTTTTGATTTTAGAAGTGTTCTTTATTTTAAGGCTATTCCTCTACCTATATGCTTTTTACTAGTTATGCTTATGTGACCTCTTGGTTTATTAAACAATTCAGTTAAAATTATTTTAGTTATAAAATTGCAGTTAGAAGATGTGTAGAGGGTGGGAATATAGAGAGAAGAGTAGAAGATAATATCATGAGATAATTTATTATAATTAATAGTATATGGTATCATATAATTTTGTCAATAATTCCACCGGTCAGCCAGCTGGAAACTTTAAAATGGCCAATATATAATAAGTAGTCAATAAGTATTTGATACCACTTTCCTCCCAGTCACCCTTCATCAAGTCTTGTTGATTTTTTCTTTGCAGCATAACACCTCTTTTATTTTCCTTATAGTCCCAGTGCCATTAGCCTTACAACATAATTATTTTACCTAGTTTATCACAAGTAACTCTTAACTAGTCTCTCTCCATCTATTCATTCTTGTCCAAAGTGATTCCTTCTCCGAAATCCTGATACCTTTGTTTGTATATCTCTTGGAATACCTTCCATATTTCTGATCTATCCTGCATATTACCTCAGATTATCCTTTCTGAATCACAGTTTGCATTCATTCACTGTTCATTTACTTATTAGTTTTTTTATTCAGTTAGTATTTATTGTATATAAGGGTTAGATACCAGTTGTGTTACTTTGCTTGCTTAAAATTCCTTAATTGCTCTATATTGACTAGTTAGAAAAGTCTAATTCAAGGCTTTTCATGGCTTCAACATGCCTTTCCGTTATTTTCTAACTTACTATTCTAGAGGTATGCTTTCTATGCCTTCAAGGTTCTGTGTGTTTCCCAAGCCGTCTGTCTTAACTGCCATTTTTTCCCCTTATCATCCAGACTGTCAAACTCCTATTCTGTACATGAAGATCTAGCCCAAATGTTACCATTTTGGTAAGGTTTCATTTGGTCTCCATAACCAGAGGGATCTTTCCTTTTCCAAAATATCATGTCAGCATCACAGAAGTTCCTCCACTTATGAATAGGTTAGATTCCCAAAGTAGCTAGTTTGTTCCTAAGTCCAAAGAAACCAAGGCGAGTTGACCTGTATAGAGCCCAGATACCTTTCCGCCGAAAAGGAGTGAAGCAGTCCTTTTATTCTTTAAAAAGTCTTCTCCTTGGTGTGTGTGTGTGTGTGTGTGTAGTCTTTTATATATATAGTCTAGTCCATTTGGAAAATAATGTTCTAATTTATGCTTATATAATATATATGCTATAAATGTGTTATATAATATGTATTGTAAGTTAGATATTAAGTATGTGAAATAGAGCATTATTTTTCTATAGTAAAGTTCTGTTTAGTGGATGAGGGAAGCCCATTACTCCTCCTCCACTCCACTTATTGATATATCAGTGATCTCTACAAGTATCATAAGAGGCTTATTCCAAATAGAGTATCAGCATCATCACCCTTTTGCTTGGTTTGATGATTGACATTTTTGCATGGACCTGGAATCTTCTGGACTGTTTATTTGGTCTGTGACAAATTTTTTTACTAAGACCTTGACTGTGTTTAAGTTTAAATTCTTAAAGAAAATTTAGCTTTTGCCTGAATTACATTAGATGTTGACTATTCAAGCTCTTTCAGTGGCTGCATATTCAAGTCTTTTGATTCACCATTTGTCCTCATCACTTCCTGACTGTTTCTTACTGCCTAGGCACATGGTTAGTTAGCACTGGTCACAAGTTGTATGATTTGTTTCTGTTCTTCAGAATTGACCCTATTGTTGAATATTTATTTCAGGTACACTTAGAACATATATTTTTACCATGTCCGTTTTTTTTTAGTCATAATTTTCTGTTCCAGTGCGATTTTATGGGCCTCTAGTAGTACTTTCAAATTTCGATCCTCTCCTTGTTTTGGCACTTACTGAAATGATAAGGTTAAAAATGTCTGTGAAAAAGCTCAAAACCAAGCATAAACTAACCCTACTTTGATTAAATAAGAGTGGGTCTGTGAGGTGAAAATGACAATCACTGGTATCATTTTCTGGTGACGGGCATAGTTGACTTGCTTTTTTTTTGCTGTGAAGCCTATAGCATTACTTTCAGTCTATAAAAGTTATGAGTTAAAAATATATAAATAAATGAGTGTCTATATGTTGCTTGTAATTTTATCATATTTATCACATCCTGCTTTGTATTCCAGTTATTTTTGTGCAAATCTTGCATAGTGTACCTTCTCTTACTACATCATATCTTCTTTTTACATCTTTTCATCTTAATAGTACTTATCTGAGTAATCTGCAAATAATGTATGTTTAATGAATATTGGTACTTTAGATGGTTATATTAGTAAGAAAAAAATTAAATGTAGTGTATTTAATTTCAGAGTATGTTCAAAATACTTAGAAAATAACATGTAACTTATAAGGAGAAATATGAAGGCCTTTTAAAAATTTATGGGGAATATTTTCAAACACCTGGTTCAGTTAAAAATTCCTTCTTCATGAAATGACTCACATATATAATGTTTAAATGTTTCACATAATTAATAGTCATTGGCTATTAGAATCTAAACAGATTTTGTCTTTCAGCTTTTGAATTCAGACCACAGATCCACAGCCACAGTCCAGATCTGCAGTGGCTCTGTAAACCTTAAGGGTGCTGTGAAATGCAGAGCTTATATTCATAGCAATAAACCCAAGGTTAAAGATGCTGTACAGGTAAAAAAAAAAAAAAAAAAAAGGAATAACTGGTATATGAAAAACAGAAGCATGTTAACATAATTACTCAAAAATCTTAAAATTTTACCTTTTTTCAATCTCAAATTTCATAATTATTCATTTGATTTTAACTGATAAAAGTCCAGTCTGTTGGGCAGTCCAAATGTACCAGGTAATTGGTCCCAAGATTTTCATGTAGAATGTCTATTTTTATACCTTTTTGAAGTGATGATTATACAAGTGTATTAAGTGTTCCACAGTTGTAACATATTAGTATATTTGAAATCATTTCTTCTGAAGGAAATTGAACTTTTTAAATAACAGGAAAAGTACACCTACAAAGAATTATTAGGTATTGTTCTATAATCAATATAATTTAGAAATTTAAAAAATGATGACTGGCACTTTTGTCATAGTTATGCATTTTCTAATTTGGACCACTAGCATTATTTGTTCAGATGCAAAATTTTGTTCATTTATTTGGTTTAAACTTACTGTTTAGATGAAGTCTGGGTAAATTTGCTGTTAAACTATTAATGTATAGATAAGCCTGTTACATAAATGGACAAATGGAATGACGTACTAGTTATTTTAGTGGACATGATTATACAGGGAAGTAATTTATGTGGCGGGTTTTGGTAATAAAATAATGCAAATTTAAAGAAATGGATTTTATTTCTTATTGTGGTTTGTTTTGGTTTTCCATAGGCCATGAAAAGAGATATATTGAATACAGTTGCTGATCGTTGTGAAATACTATTTGAGGATCTGCTTTTGAATGAAATTCCAGAAAAAAAAGTTATGAGTATAATATTAAGTACTTTTTTTGCATGTGTTCAATTGATATATTAAGATGTCAAGATATAATAGATAATATTATCTTTTTAACTGCATATATCTTTTTTAAAACAATATGTAATAATTTACTTTTCTTATTGAATGAAAATTTTCAGTTGCCACCTAAAAAAAAGTTTTTGAACACCGTGTAATAGTAAATCTGTCAACATTTAATAATTTCAGGGAGGATTTAAAAAGAAAAATTCTGTGTGAATTTTTGCCAGAATAGATAAACTGTGTTACCATTTTTTTTTTAGTTATTTCTAAGATAAGCATTTTAAAGAAATAACTAGAATTATGACTTATAACATTATACCAGAACATATAAGATTTTTAGAAATTGCATGTAATGTCTGATACATTTATATTAACATATTTCCATACAAATAACCCAAAGAAAGTTTAGTAGTAGTTGTTTTTTTTGTTTGTTTGTTTTTTTATACTGCAGGTTCTTATAAGTCATCAATTTTATACACATCACTGTATACATGTCAATCCCAATCACCCAATTCAGCACACCACCATCCCCACCCGCACTGCATTTTTCCCCCCTTGGTGTCCATATGTTTGTTCTCTATGTCTGTGTCTCAACTTCTGCCCTGCAAACCGGTTCATCTCTACCATTTTTCTAGGTTCCACATACATGCGTTAATATACGATATTTGTTTTTCTCTTTCTGACTTACTTCACTCTGTATGACAGTCTCTAGATCCATCCACGTCTCAACAAATGACTCAATTTCGTTCCTTTTTATGGCTGAGTAATATTCCATTGTATATATGTGCCACATGTTCTTTATCCATTCATCTGTTGATGGGCATTTAGGTTGCTTCCATGACCTGGCTATTGTAAATAGTGCTGCAGTGAACATTGGGGTGCATGTGTCTTTTTGAATTATGGTTTTCTCTGGGTATATGCCCAGTGGTAGGATTGCTGGGGCATATGATAATTCTATTTTTAGGTTTTTAAGTAACCTCCATACTATTCTCCATAGTGGCTGTATCAATTTACATTCCCACCAACAGTGCAAGAGGGTTCCCTGTTCTCCACACCCTCTCCAGCATTTGTTGTTTGTAGATTTTCTGATGAAGCCCATTCTGAGCGGTGTGAGGTGATACCTCATTGTAGTTTTGATTTGCATTTCTCTAATAATGAGTGATGTTGAGCAGCTTTTCATGTGCTTCTTGGACATCTGTATATCTTCTTTGGAGAAATGTCTATTTAGGTCTTCTGCCCATTTTTGGATTAGGTTGTTTGTTTCTTTAATATTGAGCTGCATGAGCTGTTTATATATTTTGGAGATTAATCCTTTGTCCGTTGATTCATTTGTGAATATTTTATCCCATTCTGAGAGTTGTCTTTTCGTCTTGTTTATTGGTTTCCTTTGCTGTGCAAACGCTTTGAAGTTTCATTAGGTCCCATTTGTTTATTTTTGTTTTTATTTCCATTGCTCTAGGAGGTGGGTCAAAAAAGATCTTGCTGTGATTTATGTCAAAGAGTGTTCTTCCTATGTTTTCCTCTAAGAGTTTTATAGTGTCCAGTCTTACATTTAGGTATTGAATCCATTTTGAGTTTATTTTTGTGTGTGGTGTTAGGGAGTGTTCTAATTTCATTCTTTTACATGTAGCTGTCCAGTTTTCCCACCACCACTGATGGAAGAGACTGTCTGTGTTACCATTTTAATGCCATTAATTTATTAGTGTTGACCATTATACATAATAGAGTCTTTAATAGGTGTATAGGCAATTGATCTTTCTTTTTCTTTCCAATTTTTTTTTGTGTGTGTGTGTACTAGTTTATATACGTCTCATCTATTCTCTAACAGACTTTACTAGATTTTAAAAAGGCTGGGTCATGGTGTCTTAACCTTTTATAACTATTCCATCTTTTGAGAAACATGAACAATTTATACCTTTTCAGTAATTTGTATTAGAAAAATATTGTTTTACTCAAAAAGAAAATATAATATTGAGTATGCTTTTTGAAGCTACACATTTATCTGCCTTTCTACTATTCAGGTGGATTTGCAATTCACGGTTGAATATGTACATAATTGAAACATACGTTATTAGCTTGTTAAGGGAATATGTTTATTTTTATAGGAGAAAAGCATAGCTCCTGTGTATAACTAACTTCTTTTAGTTGTAATAGCCCGTATATCAGGTTTGGTGGACTGATTATAATCTTTTTTCTATTCCTGGTATGATAGATACCTGGAATTTCCAGATTTAACATCTGTCCTTCATGTTCTTCACAAATAACCCTGAAGTTATTATTAGTGGAATAACCCATCCACTAATAATGTATAGTTTTGCTGAGACATGAATTTGAAATTTACGTGCAGCAATTGGATTGAGAGTTTGTTTTGTGAAGTATGTAAAACCTGGTCACTTAGCCACCCAGTTAGTCTAGCAGTGTCATCTGTGTGGCTTTGTTTTTGCTGCTTGACTTTGTGTGTGATAACTCTCATGGTATTAAACACTACTTCACTTTCTGAGTAACAGTATGTGTTACAACTGAACTGTGAATTTTAGGATTTTCTGGGACATGGGGATATATCCACCAATAATGCCAAAGGTCTACCTTATCACACACATTAGTTAAATATTCCTTTCCGTTACAAATGCTTCATAAAAAGGTTATCAAATGACTGCTCTAGTATTCTATTTAGTGAATTGGTATTTTGAAATTTTTGCTGACGTCCAATCAGTAAAATTAATTACTTCTAATAACAGTGTTTATAGCTTAAATTTGATATATAGAAGTTAATGTTACCATCTAATCTTACAGTTTTACAAAATGAAAGAATATTTTCACTGATAATTGAGTGGCCTGTGAGCTTGTGGGAAGAGAGAATAGGCAGTGTAGTGTGGTGGAAAGAGCAAAGACTGAAGTTCTTGGGTTCTGTGTCTACTCTAACACTACTGGAGTGACTTCAGGTGAATAATTTAGCCTGTCTAAGCATCCACTGTCTTATGTGAAAAACAGGGATTATAGTAGCTATTTTTCGAGCCTGTGAGATGAAAGAAGATGATGTTTTTAAAGTCCCTAATACTAGTTACTATTAAGTTGAAGGTACTGAAGGAAGAGAATTACTTAACAATGGTTGTATTTAAACTTTCTTGACTTTAAGTTTTGTGGAATGTAGCCTTATGTTTCAAAAATGGACCAAGTGTAAGTATACATTTTTTGAACTGTAGTAAGAGAATAATTATTCCAGCAACATGTTAGTAGATCTTAAGATATCAAGATTAAAAAATATATTGCAGGTATAATAATATGAACATGTAAATTTTGAAGTTGAATATATATACACCCAATTGTTAGATCTTAAATTTAGTCCTCATTTTACTTAGCTTTCTTTTTTTTTAAAGGAAGAAATGACTGTCTTTATTCTCAGGTGACATGATTGTGTACCCACAAAATCCAAAAGAATCTTTAAAAATAAAACTACTAAAACTAATAAGTGAATTTACCAAGGTCCCAGAATACAAGGTCAATATACATAACTCAATTATATTTCTCTATAGTAAGAAGAAACTGGAAATTTTAAAACAATTATATACCATTTATAATAGCATTCAAATAACCATAAAATACTTAGAGATAAATCTAACAAAATATATATAAGATCTATGTACTGAAAACTACAAAACACTGCCAAGACAAATTAGAAAAGACCTAATAATTGGAGAAAGATGCCATGCTCATGGATTGGAAGACTCAATGTTATTAAGATGTCAACTTTTTCCAAATTGATCTATAGATTCAACATAATGCAGGTTAAAATCCCAGCAGGACATTTTTTTTTTTATTCCCTGTTCATCATTTTATTGGAAGTCCTGGGTAGTGCAATAAGGAAACAAAATATATACAGATAGGGAAGGAAAAAGTAAAACTTTTCAGATAATATGATTGTCTATCTAGAAAAGTCACAAAAAATATACAAAAAACTCTTTAATAAGTGTCCTAGCAAGATCACAGCGTACAAGGTAATATACAAGTCAGTGTTTTCCTATATATGTAAATGAACAATTGGAATTTGCAATGAAAAAATAACATATACAATACAATAGGACCCCGAAAATGAAACTTATGTATAAATATAATAAATATACATAGAAACTGTGTATGGAAAACTATAAAACTCTGATGTAAGAAATCAAAGATCTAAATGAATGGATAGATATTTCTTGTTCATGGATTGAAAGACCCAATATAGTTAAGATGTCAGTTCTTTCCTACTTGATCTATAGATTCAATGAAATTCCTGTTGAAATCTCAGCAAGTTATTTTATGGATATCAACTGATTCTAAAGTTTGTATGAAGGGGCACAAGACCTAGAATAGCTAACACAATATTATTTTTTTTGAATTTTATTTTATTTATTTTTTTATACAACAGGTTCTTATTAGTTATCTATTTTGTACATATTAATGTGTATATGTCAATCCCAATCTCCCAATTCATGCCACCACCACCACCCCTCCCCCACCACTTTCCCCCCTTGGTGTCCATATGTTTGTTCTCTACATCTGTGTCTCAATTTCTGCCCTGGAAACCGATTCATCTGTACCATTTTTCTAGGTTCCACATGTATGTGTTAATACACAATATTTGTTTTGCTTATGCTTCTTATATACTGGTAAAATCTTGTAGGTTTGTAATATGGTAAAATCTAGAATGCATGCCATGAAATTAACCTGAACTAGAATATTTTTTGCATGCATAAGGAAGTCTGCAAAGGGCATATTAACATTACATTCTTAATCTTTAAAGTAAACAGTTTTTTAATTCTGGCTATCCAGATGAAAGAACTTAATACTTCAGGTGACAGTAAAAAAATAATAATAATAAATAAAATATGAACTCCAGTCAGTCCTTTTACTTATTCTGGTCTTCCCCTTTTCTTTCCCTTAAGAAGTATTCCAGACTTTCTTCATTATTCTCTATCAGCCTGCATTCAGTCCTGCCCAACTTACTCTCAGTAGATGACATACTTATCGTGAAAACTGAGGTCATCAACTATGAAATCTCTTACCTTCTTCCATCCCTACATCCACATCCATCCATACTGCCTGTCCTCTCAGAACATTTATATTTCTCTTTGCCTGTAGTCATGGTTCCACTCTCTGGATCGCGCTTCTCATCCCTTCATGCAAATGTCTGTTTATCTTTTAAGAGTCAGCTCAGATATTGCCTATTCTACAAAATTTTCTGTAATATTCCAGTATGAGTTAGGATTCTATACTTAACCAGCAAAATCTCAATTCTTATCATATTGGCTTAACTTTAAATTTTTTTCTCTGTTTTGAACTTATTTAAATAATTTTGAACAAAATACTCTGCTATGGGAATACGCCTAAAGGATTCTTTTTTTGAGTACTTTTTAAGATGTATGTTTTTTTTTAAAGCTTTCCTCTCCCATTTTAAACCTCAGACCAGCTAGAAAACTTGGTCTTATTTAGATAATAAATGTTTAATTTAACTTTAACTTGAAAATTGTAAGCGCTTTTTTTTTAATGAGCAATACAAGTTCATTGCAACCAATTCTTTAACATTTGATTTTATAAGCAAGCATATTTGTCTCTTTTTCAGGCAAACCTAGAATTAATGCAGTTTGAAATTGTTTTAAAATTTTGCATGCCAATTACACTTAGGCCACCTTTGAAAGTTTTGAACTTAACCTGTTTTAAGAAACTATGGCCGAAAATAAAATACTATATTCCTAATATCAATGTGTGGACAGTTTACATGCTATAAGACAAATTGCAGTAATATAATTTTACAGCTAGGAGGCAGTCTGGTCAAAGAGTAAAATTCTCCCAGTTCTCATTTGAAAACAATGTATTAAGCAGAATCTGGCAGGAACACATATTTAAGTCATGGCATTTCCTATGACACTTAAGGCATTCTTCATTGTCATCTGTTTGCAGTCATATAAAGCTACCACTTGCTTCTTGACAAGGAAAGGTAGGTTACTGTTAAAGTGAGCCCTGGTTTTCTACTTGGTATGTACATTGGTAGCTTTTTAAATCATATCCAGTGCTGAAAAAAGTCATTCTTTACACAAAATGTCTATCTTTGTTGATACTTCATCAGAGTCATGGTTTTGAGCCAAACAATAATTATGTGTTTATGTTAGAAATTGAGCGAAATGTGTGTGTTGAAAGAAGAATGAAATATTCATTATTTACTTAGGTCCAGATTATTTTTTCTAAAAATGATTTAAGGCTATTTACAAAAAGGCATTACAAGTTAAGAAGGTAAAGTAGGTATTAATAATGAGGACGAGGCAAAGGGAAAATGAAAAAGAAAGCAAGATGGAGTTGGTGGTGAGATTAGTACAGAAAATGTGTATCTTAATGTCCTACACATGCTTGATTAGGGTGCTACATCATGTAAGATGAAGTCAGTGGTGAGAGTACAGAAATGAATGCTATCATGACCTATACACTTGATGTAGGTGAGCCACTAATTTGGCTCTATGAGCTTGCATGAAAAAGGGAAAAATTGTTTAGAAAATTCAGTACTTGTAAGGTTAAAACAAAGAAAAACAACTTCTGAGACAAAATTATCTCCTAGGTATTCCTTCATAGGACAGTGGATAATATAAGAATGTATAATCAACAATGTCTTCACACTGAAGGCAGTGGTGAGTTTATATTTCATGGGAGTATCATTTATGTCCCTTGCAGAGGCCTTAGGTATTGAGTTAAAGAATTCAGTAAGCAATTTTGTGCGAGATCAATTAGAAAATGAAAAGACCTTTTAAGGTTTTATTTCTTTTGGCATATGCTTTCATGTACTTACACAATATTTATCACTGATACCAGTGACAGACCCTTCTAAATACTGATATTGTTTCTTCTCCTTTTAGATTCTGAAAAAGAGTTCCACATCCTCCCTCACCGAGTTTTTGTCCCCATTCCGGGATCCACTGTAATGTTATGTGATTATAAATTTGGTGATGAGTCAGCTGAAGAAATTAGAGACCATTTTATAGAGATGTTAGATCATATGATTCAAATAGAAGATTTGGAAATTGCAGAGGAAATAAACACAGGTAATTATATGAGGTTATTTAAGAACCATATTAGACTATAGCTGAGGTTACCTATGGGACATCTAGTTTAAGTATCATGTCTTTAGATTTCCTTAAAGCTAGTTCTCTTTGATACTTTTGAGGCATTTAAAAATGTGTCTGTTTTTCTACACAGTATATAAACATGCAGTGTTTCCTGGAAAATTGTACCAAAATTTAAGATACTTTAGATTTTTCCAAGCCTAGCAAGTAGATCTTCATAAAACAAGTTCAGTCTTAAACAGGTAGAAATATATAGCTTTAAGGGATTTCTTTTATTATAAGAGAAGTTTTCTCAAAATCTGTTATTTTAATTATTTGGTTAAGCATCAGGTTACAGAAGTTTTTTAAACTCTTTATTAAACATCTTCAGGGCTTCCCTGGTGGCGCAGTGGTTGAGAGTCCGCCTGCCGATGCAGGGGACACGGGTTCGTGCCCCGGTCCGGGAAGATCCCACATGCCGCGGAGCGGCTGGGCCCACGGGCCATGGCCGCTGAGCCTGCGCGTCCGGAGCCTGTGCTCCGCAACGGGAGAGGCCACAACAGTGAGAGGCCCGCGTACTGCAAAAACAAAAACAAAAACAAAACAAACAAAAAAATCTTCATACTATTTGCTGTTATTTTCCTATCCCCTTCATATAATTGGGAAACTAAGCTAAAATGGGCAGTTCCAAAAATTAGATCAAGATTATTTTTACAGAGCATAGATTTGCCATACTATGTAATTGTGTACACATATTCTTCCCCTAACCATTACTTTCATATTTCATCTTACATTTTAAAAGGTTTTTTTTTTGTTTTGCTTTGCTTTGCTTTGTTTTTGTTTCTAGTGAGAGTAGGATATGAAAACGTGTCTATAAATAAATGTGTTTGACAGTCTTCCTGAAACATTTTAAAAATATGTGGTAAAAGTAGTTATTTGCAAGTATCCATAAATATTGAGTATCTAGACATTTATCAGTCTTGAAATTTCTGATATCATAGAAAGTCTTTAGGTTACTTCTGAATATAAATGTTTATGAAATTTGAATATAACCATTTTTAAGTCCTTTTTCTAATTCTAATTTCTTAGTTATTCTTCTATTGCTTAACTAATTCCCATTCCCCACAAGAGTAGAGTGATTGAGTCCTGTTGTTTCTATGGTGAATCAAGTAAGTATTTGGTTGGTGAATTTCAAATCTGTCAGTAAAGCCTCAGGTTAGTTGGGGATCACCAGGCTTGTTTTTTCAACAGCTCCAAGTTTATATTAATCATGTGGAATAGTAAGTTTGTTTTAAAGGAAAAAAAAAAAAACCTCTAAATTGCTCAAGCTGCAGCTATGTTTCAGTCCCCTGAAAACTAATATTTTTAAAGGTATAGCTATAGAATATTCTCTAAGTGATAGATTTTGGAGTAGACTGGTAGAAATGTTTGCTACTTTGTGAAATATGTTTTTCCAGATTTATGACTATGCTGTTTCTTCCAACTAATCTTAGAGTCATGAGGGCAGAGATTTTTGTTTGCTTTTGTTTAATTCTGTCACTAGTGCCTAACAGTAGTTCTTGACCAACTCTATTGTTGATAACTTGAATTAGTTTTACGTGGGATCATTAGAGTTGACCTGGTTCATCCTCTTTCATATAATACTGAAATCTATGGGTATTTAGACTTTTTTCTTCCTTATTCTGAATTCCAGTCTGCCTTCCTGAAACCTCTACTTTTTCAGTAATCTGGAGCAATTAAACATGAGTACAGTTGACACTTGAACAGTACAGGAGCTAGGGGCACTGACTTCCATGTGGTCGAAAATTCATGTATAATTTTGCAGTTGGCCCTCCATATCTGCAGTTCTACATCCACAGATTCAGCCATCATGGATTGTGTAGTACTGTAGTATGTATTTATTGAAAAAAATCCAAGTGTAAGTAGACCTGTGCATTTCAAACCCATGTTGTTCAAGTGTCAACTGTACTGCTTCTTTATTGAGGCTTTGCTTTAAGTTTAAATTGAGGGCAGTTGTCATGTTCTAAATATTTCAAAGCCAAATACTCCCATATACCTTTAACTGTTCTCATTATTACAGTTTCTAGACCTCATTTTTCCTTACCACCTTATTTACCTTTCTTTAGATTAGACATTTTTAACCTGTGGTGTCCAAAATTTTGGGGTCATAGTTGGCTATCAGGAGATCCCTAAACCGCTTGAACATAATTGTATAATGTTTTTCTGGGGGGAAAGATCTATAGCTTTCAAAGGGTTGGTGACCTAAGAAGGATTAAAAACTGCTTTTTAAAATATCAGTGTAGTCTGGCTTGCCTTTCTTGAGATACGTTACCCTTAATTGAACCTAATACTCCAATAATATTAGCTATTGTTTTTATAGGACTGCTATGTGCCGGGCACCGTTTTAAGAGCCTTACAGATGCTAAATCATTTAGTCCTTATAAGAACCCTATAATGATTATTATACTATTGTTAGCTCAGTTTTCCCAATAAAAGAATTGAGGCTCAGAAAGGTCAAGTAATTTTTTCAGGGTTACATAGCTAATAAATGGTGGAGCTGGAATTTAAATGTAGGCAGTTTGGTTTTAGAGTCTGCTTTTTTTCCAACAGTTTTGTTTTACTGCCTTTCTGTGACACTTAACCAGGACAGACTATAGGGTTATTACTTTCCATGATCTAGGTACTTATTTTAGCCTAGCCCTCTTAATTCCATCATTTAAAACAATTGTTTTAACTTAAATAAATGATGTTACATCATCCTCATTTAATTTCATCTTATGTCAGTGTAATTTCTCACTTGTTGGGTAGAAGCTTGGATCTGTTATCATATGTAGTTTTCATATTCTTTTGAATTATTTGTCACACTTTTAATGCATATTACATTGCTAAATTAAGTATGACTGAGGGAAGCACTGTATGCAAAACTTGCCCCATTCACAACTTACTTTAAAAATCAGATATAAAAGAATAGGAAGAGAGAGATTTCATTTAGATTTTTTTAAGACTACCATCTGTCTGAAATATTTTTATCTTGTTTAATTTTGTGTCATATTTTAAATATAAGCATTTATAGACTAGTTTGTATTTTATTCAATACTTTATAAGTAATACTTTAAAACTAGTTACAGTTATTAATCTCAATTAATAACAGATTAATATCCATTGTTTAAATTGCTAAGACAGATTAAAATAAAAATCCAGGTAGCTTTCACCACTGTAATACATTCTTAAGGAGGCAACTATGGCAGCCTTGCTTGCCAGCCTCCCCCAAATAAAACTAAAACCTAATAAATTAAAACCCGTATGAAACAATTTTATATTGCATTTCAGCAAACATTTATTGATTTTTCCATAAGGTTCACAAGGAAAGGGACTTTTCCTTTCTTGCTCACTGCTGTCATTTCTAGCACTTTCCTAAGAACCTAGCCTTAACACATTGTAGGTACTCAGTAAATATTTGCTGACTGAACAGATTATTGATTTTGTCAGTCCTAGGGTTTGGGAACCAAAATTCAATAAGATACTGATTCTGTCTTCAAGGAGCTAAATAGAATTTTTTTTTGACCTGGGTAGATAATTTTATGTGCTCAGACTAGGTGAGTGCCTCCATTGAGTGTCTCCATTATACTTAATCATAGTGTTTTGCTGCTTTTTTGTATTAGTTTCCATTCTTGTAATTATTGAACTCATCAGTTGCATGTTTAATATTAATCTTTCATATTAGACTGCAAGTTTCTCGAGAGTATTTATTTCTCTATCTGAGTTCCATGCCTAAAACATGATAGGTATTCATAAATATTTGTTCCTAACTGACTGACATATACTGAATTGGTCATTTTTAGGAAACTATAGCACAGCTTTTTTTAATACTTATTTTATGCTTGAAAAATTGTAAGCTTATGCCTAGAGAGATATAAGGTTTTTAAGGTTTGTGTAGTGCACTACACTGAACATGATGAAGATTTTCAAAGGATATAATGGTCATTGCTCTTATGGCTCAATAGTTCAGAACGTTTTAAGGGATGTAGAACATTAAAAACATATGACAACGTGTAACACTAATTGTTGCCCCGTAAATATTAATTCTAGTTTATAGCATTTAGTATGTCTATTTGTTAGATGTTTATTAAGCATTTGCTCTGTTCAAGGTAGTGTTATAGATGACAAATCAATAGCCAGATTCCTTTCCTCAAGAAGCCTATAATCTGACTTGGAATATAGAATTGTATGCATTATTAATTATTGCAGGGCATGTAGTAAGGTCCAAAGAGTAACTAAGAACTCAAGAACATCAAGATTAATGATCATAATTTTAGGGTCTCTAGTGATTTGGCTAATAATTCATTCAGAAAAAATATTCTGATGGTAGGTTAGCAATAACCTGTAATCTATAGTAAGAAAGGTTTGACATTAGTATTTTCAAATTTTAGTAAATTCTTTCCATTTTTTCTTTCTTTATTATTACTATTATATTTCACTTTAACTAGAGGTTAGTTCAATAATACGGGAATGAACAGAGAATTATCAGAACATTTAGCACAGGCATTATCCCATAAGTGATTCAGAGAAAGCTTCTCAGAGCAGGTAACATTTGAGTTCATTTTCAAGGATGAATGCAGTAAAAGTAACTCTAAGCTGTTTAGGAATTGAACACTGGCATCAGATTTATTGTGGCCAAGAATAGGACTTGTCTAGAATTATATTATTTTTGCTTCATCAAGTATTTGTTGAATTAGAAGGAATGATATAGTTATTTAGTAGCAAAATAACACATTCCAAATTATGGGATAGGGTAAAAACATAAACATTTTAATAGAAAAATTAAGTGCTTTTACATATACATTCTGTTGGTTTAAAATTATGTTCACTTTTGCATTTATTCTTTCATTTATTAATTTATTCAAAAATATTAGATGCATAATTTTACCAAGATGTTTTAGCTGCGTCCAGGTCTTCCACTTACAGCTGTGTAACCTTGAACAAGTCCTCTCTGAACCCCAAATTCTTTTGGTGTTGGTACTAGAATTTAGTAAAAATGTTAGGGAAAATACTTTCTAAACAGAAAGAGATATATAAATGTAAGGTGATATTTACTAGAATTATTATAAAACTTTTAAATAATGGACCTTCTGAATTATAATGAAAAACATTAAAGTATAAGAATAATGCTATATAGTGTGCATAGATTTTCCTAATTATTTGAAATTAGGGTTTCCAGGTAAAATAAACCATGAAAAGTGGAGTTCAAATGTTCAAATTCAAACTTGAAATCAATTACTGTACATTTAGGATTGTTAAACTTGTTATAAGTATCAAGCTTTATTTTCCAAGTATTTGGTGTTATTATTTGCTTGATTATTTAATTATTTCTGTTCTGTAATGTAGTTGCTATGTTTAAAATATGTATTTTGCCAAGTAAGTATTTTAAAATAACATACTTTAAAATGACTTAAGGAATGAAGAACAATTTGTTTGTCAAAATGACTCACTTAAGGTGAGGGATAACTGTGGCTTTAAAATTTCTTAAATGTGTTAGTCGTCTCCTGGTAGATATTAACTTAATAATTCAGATGTACTTTATCCACAGTATCAGCAAATTTGGAGACACATATTTAAAATCTGGTGAAACCCATGTTTGCCAATTCTGTCTTGATATCAGAGGTGAAATTAATTTTCATTGCTTGATTAAACATTGATAATTTAATTATAAAGGGAAAAAAGTAATGCTGAAGATGTATTTTAATGGCTAAATCACTGACTAGTGAAACCTCATTAACTTAGGATTTAGGGATCTGGAAGATGACACCTAACTAAGGAGTTCAAGTGCTAGCATTTCATTTTAAGCTTCTAAATAGTCCTACCTATCAGCAGCTTAGAATGAAATTGAATATATATACAATTTAACATGCATTCATCATGGCCCTTGTCTTCTCCTTTGTTGACAGTTGCTTAAGAAAGGTTGCTTTCTTACATGAATAATTTGAGATTTGTCTGCAGTTAAAATTACCTGGTTTTAAGGAATGGTTAAGATCTAATTTCCTATTGAATCACATGTCATTTGCACTTAAAGTTCAGATGACCTTAAGGTATTGGTAAAAATGACAGTATCTGAGATTTGAATTAAGTTCTTCATGGCCCCACCAAAAACAGACAAACAAATTGTTATGGTAAGGATTTATTCATCCTTGAAAAATGCTCTGCTTCAGTAAAATTGTCTCAGCTTTGTATCAAATCAATATGATTTTGAATGACAGATTTTAAAATGGAAATAGCAGAGCAATGGAATGTCTTTTTTTAATAGAAGTAAATTGTTTATACAGAGGACTTGACCTCTTAGAGCATGCTCTTCTTCACAAATAACAAGTTAGTATTAAATGTGTGAGTAATATGACATGACAAATAAAACCATTTTTGTGCTCTTTATCTATAGGTACTCAAGTAAAAAAGTAAAAAATTTCCTGTAGCAAATAGGTATAATTCACGCTTCATCCATTATTTTTGTTTTTATCTGAGATAAGGATTTTAGTGGCCCAAAGAAAAAGCTTTTTAGCAGTGATATTTGCTAAAAGAAAAAGCCGAAGTTCTGTGTGTGTGTGAGTGTATGTTTTTAAAATGAATAAAATTGTACTCTCCATTCAACTTTTAGACATATGGATGAAGTTAGGGGAAATTTTAAGCTGGTGGGCTAATGTAGTCTAGAAATAAAGTGTTAACAGCCCCCGAGAAAACTGGATGCTGTAGAAATATGGAAGACTGAATAATTCTGGAGACAGTTCATGAGAATTTGTTGGCCTTTGTGACTAGTTTGATATGGGAGTAGAACAAAAGAGAAAAACGTTTTGTGTTTGTTTTTAAAGTACTTTAGTCATATGCTCAAAGAGGGAAAAAAAGAACAGTTTTGCCTTGATTCTAATGAGGTGACTACTAAGGATTATTTCTCAAAATGGCAAACTTTTCTTCATGGGAAATTGATGAGAAGCAGGCAAATATTTTTTCACCCATTTCGGTACCACTGATAATTATTTCAGTAAGTTATGTGTCATCCTTGTGAGCACATCTGCATGTGCCAGTATGTTGGTATACAAAGATGTCTATAAAAGATATTTTAAATCCAAGCAATAAGCTATTTTACTTTGAATTTAAATAGTAGTATTTACTGTGTCACTCTGGGGTTCTCTTCTCTTCTTTGTAAATAAAGGGATCAACATGAAGTTCAGTTAACCCTTGAACAACATGGGGGTTGGGGGCACTGACCCTCGCGCAATCGAAAATCCACATACAGCTTCAGCTGGCTGTCCGTATGGGCAGTTTACCATCCATGGATTCAACCAACCATGGATCATATAGTGTGTATTTAGTGGGAAAAAATTTGCATATGAGTAAGTGGATCTATGCAGTTCAAACCCATGTTGTTTAAGGATCAACTGCAGTTGTTTTCAAACATAGTTCCCTTGAGTTCTATAGAACAGCACTCTGCTGTCACCTCTTAGGGGAAGGAGGGAGTATGGCTCCAGGAGTCCTTCATCCCTGCTTCAACTAGAGTAATTCTGCTTTCATCTATTTTACATACTGGGATTTTCTGTCAGATTTTCTAGCACTAGTTTAAAAAAAGAAAACCATTGGTCTGTGTGATCCCTAAGGATGTTTTCAGTTCAGACACTTTTAGTCAGTGTTAAATAAATTCAGCTTGGCTAACCTACACAAATTATTGTCACCATAATGAAGTAGAAAGAGAACTTGTATTTGAATCCTCATTCTGTTGCCTATGACCCTCAAATACGCACTTAATGTCCCAGGTTTTATTTTCCAACTATAAATGAGATAATGTACTTACTTTGCTTAACATTGAATTGTTTTAAGGTCAAACTTATGGTCCCAATTTGCTCATGTAATTCAGGTTAGATCAAGAGTCAGCAAACTTTTTCTGTATAGGGCTACATAGTAAATATTTTAGGCTTTGCAGAGCATGTAAGGTCTGGCCCATGGGCTGCACTTTGGCCCATGGCTACAGTTTGCTGATCCCTACTTTTATTATTACTGATTACTTAAAATTATTAATTGCCAAAACCATCAATAAGAATATTATAAATTAATCCCAATTAAGAGCAAAATTTACCCTTTCCTATCTAGTTTGATTTTTGGTATCATTTATCTCCACTACCATATAGTAATCAGATTATAATTTGTGGGAGTCATTCAGAACTGGCTCTGTGGCTCCTTGGTTTTGATCATTTATAAAAGTACATAAAGTATTTTTTTTTAAGGTAGAAGCTGAGGTCATTGAATTGAATCGTTCTTTTCTTTTTTTTAAATTTTATTTATTTTTGGCTACATTGGGTCTTCGTTGCTGGGTGCAGGCTTTCTCTAGTTGTGGAGAGTGGGGGCTACTCTTCGTTGTGGTGCACAGGCTTCTCATTACGGTGGCTTCTCTTGTTGCAGAGGACGGGCTCTAGCTGCGCGTGCCTCAGTAGTTGTGGCACGTGGGCTCAGTAGTTGTGGCTCGCGGGCTCTAGAGTGCAGGCTCAGTAGTTGTGGCACACAGGGCTAGTTGCTCTGTGGCATGTGGGATCTTCCTGGCCCGGGGCTCGAACCCATGTCTTCTGCATTGCCAGGTGGATTCTTAACCACTGCGCCACCAGGGAAGTCCCCATAAAGTATTTTTAAAAGTACATCAGTTTTATATATAGTCCATGAAATTTAATTTGCCTGCATTTGATAAAGAGCAAGTTTAAAAAAAAAAGTCAGGTTGAAGGAAAATGGAGTTCACTGTATGTTTTTTATAATGTTCTTTAAAAATCATTTTTTAAGCAGTAATCTCATTTTATTTAGGATTTATTTTTATTATCCTCTTGCAGCCTGTGTAAGTTCCTCTATGAATACTGAAGCTTCATTGGACAACACAGATGATGAACCACCAAAACAGCCAATTAAAACTACAATAGTGTTGAAAATTCAGCAAAACATAGGTATTATATTTCTTCTATAACATTGAAAAGATGGTATTTTGGATTTGAGTTTTCTTGTTACTTTAAAATTATTTTCATTTCATTTCTTAAAAGAGCTAGATTAAGCTTATATTTATTGAGTATTAATAGAAAGTGGTATGCCCTGAGAGAAAGATTTATAAATAAAGCATTGTCTCAAGTGCCCTAAAAGATGACACTTCCTATTAAATGTTTTGGTGTTTTTAGAAGAAACACATGTTGAGTTTTGGGAATCAGTTAGTATAGTAGGGCCAGTGTTTTCCAAGCTGGTGTTCCCAGGATTGCTATTGTGGAAGTTTTTGATAGGTGCTCTATGAAAAAAGTCAAATTCAAGTCTGGAAATTCTAATGCATTTTAGTATTTTAAAGGCTCCAAGAAGTGTGGCAGTCACTTTAACATTTTTCAGACTTATTGATCAAAGAACATGTAGACTGTTGTTTAGTTGAATGCCAATTTGAGAAATGCTTTATAAGCATTAAGATTTTTGACTGACTGAGAGAAGCCAGAAACTTTGGTTATTTTTCATGTCAGTTACTCATAAGTTAAGTTAATTACTTAAATTCTTTGTACCTAAGTGTGTGTGTGTGTGTGTGTGTGTCTAGACTACTATGGTCAGTTTTCTTTTTGTTGTTGTTTTTTAACTTAAAATACTCAGGAAAAAAAAGTTACCAACCCAAGCTTAATAATTCTTAGATTTAGTTTCTGTAGTTTTCAATAGCTATATAAATGACTTCGTATGGTAATTACTGAGGACTCCTGCCCATTGGAGATGTCTTTTTGGTTTAAGCTAAGTAGCATGAGAGTGCTGAAATGTCAATATAAATATTTATAGAAGCCTTTTTAAGTATGTATTAGTTTGTCTCTTAGATGTGTGTGAGTGCACTCGTGTATAAGAAAGATAATTTTTTATTTTAAGGTGTTAACGAAGGTGGTGAAGTATATGATTACCAGTCCAACTTTGTAAAATATAATTTTCAACCTATTGCTATATTTTCCTCTAAGACTTTGCTGGCTTTTCATGCCTGTATATGTGTGTGTGTAAGTATATGTATTTGTGTGTGTATGTTGTTCTTGTTGTTTAGGCCCATCAGTTACCGACATTTCAAAGCCTAGGATCACTTAAGCCTTTCTTTTGCTCATTCCATTTCCATTTGTTTTGTGTTTGTTTTACTTTTAGGTGTGATTGCAGCATTTGCAGTTGCAGCCCTTGCTGCGGGTATCTCCTTTCATTACTTCAGTGATTAGGGTGAGGCACAAAGAGCTTCCTGATCATCCAGAGAATACTGACCAACAATTATGAATAATAATGATGCAAACAATCCATCTGCGTCTAAGACAATAGCAGTCAGATCTGCTGCCATAATGCCTATTAGGTGTGTTTCTGACTAAAATGAAATCACCATCTGCCTTGTTTAGCCCTGCTTATATTATAGGTGGCTCAGGCTTCCAAGAATAAAGTTATGAATCTAGATGGAAGTTGCATGTAACAAATCGTTATTATCTATTTTTTAAAATGTTCAAATGATGGTTTATTTTCATAGATTTTAGTCCTGTTGACCTGAACCACATATTGATCAGGACATTGGAAATTTGAATAGTCAGGGTTGACTGAATATCTTAGTAATAGAACAATAGGAGAAATTTCTGCAAAGTGGGGCAAAAACTTATTGGATAAGTTCATAGTTTAGGACCTTTCTATACTGATTCAAAAATACTGATTGAGTTCCATTTGGGAGGTAGGAAACCTCTCCAGACCTCTTGAATCAGCAAGGATTGTCATAAATCATGAGCTTTCTCTGGTTAGTATATCATAACCTAATATATTAAATAAGACTTTTGCTTCCAGTAATATATTAGGTACTGCAAAACAACTAGATCCTGAATAAAATCTCCTTTTGAATACATTAATAGGCTCAAAGAAAGTAGGGGAAATCTCCAAGAACTACACCTCTATTTTTTCTCCCTGACAAAATGAACACATTTTGATCTGGAAATTGTGAAAACTATATTAAGCATAAGGTTGACAGTGGTTGCCTGGGTGACAAATACCAATTGCAGCACTGCCATATGCAGTTTTCCTTAGACCAGAAACAAGGAGATAAATCTGGATCTGAGATGTCCCATCCAGGACAGTTGAAGTGGGCCTCAGTTTGTAATACCCTATAGTTCCTGGCAGAAACAAGATATAGGCCCCAGATCCCCATAGATTAAGATAAGCAATATTATTCATGGCTGGAGATCACCAGGTGCAAGTTGAAACTAGCTAGCTTGAGAAAAAACCTGTAGATATAAACTTCGGACTCAATTTTCCAAGGTCTTATCATCAACATACGTGAAGGATGGAACCAGAGACCGATCTGAAAAAGAAACAAGTGGAACTGCTTGATGAGAAATATGTTACTTGCAATTTTAAAAAAGAAAAACCCTTAGACATGTTGAATATCATATTAGACTCAGATGAAGAGACAATACATAAACTGGAAGCTAGATATAAGGAAATTATCCAATGTGCAGCCAGGAGAAACAAGGTGCTAGAAAATATAAATATTAAGGAAAAGATAAGAGATATAGAAGGAAGAATTATGAATACTAGAAGTGCCAGCAGAAGAGTATAACTCTCACAGTGTAGTATAACTGTGAGATACCAAACAGAGGATTCTTAAAGCAATCAAAGGGGGAAAAAGATTATCAGTGAAGGCAAGACAGATACTTCAGAAAGCTTCTCAATAGCAACAATGTACTCCAAAGGTGGTAGAATAGTGCCTTCAAAATTCTGAGAAAAACAATTGTCAACTTGGAATCTGTATGAAGCAAAGCTGAAATAAATACATATTCAAGTGAAAAACAGATTTTACCATCAGTGGAACTTCTTTAAAGAAATTGCAAAAGGATTATCTTCAAGAAGGAAAATAACTCCAAAAGGATCATCTGAAATTGAAGAACTAGTAAGCAAATAAATGAAAAACATGTAAATCAAAAGTGTTTTTTGTATAAAACAATCATAATGAAAGAAGTGTTTATAAGAAGCAAGATTGTAACTAAATAAAACTAAATAAACATTTTATGCAACATTAATGTGGACTTTTAAAATAGGATATAATTGAAAAACTGGACAGTAGCTTATAAGATGGGGGGGTGATTAGAATTAAAGTGTTCTGAAGTGTTTTATTATTCAGAAAATGGGTTAAGGTACTGTTTAACTTTGAAATTATGTTAAATATGTGTAGTAAAATTTCAAGTGTAACTGCTAAATGATAGATATGGGATGAATCATTCCAAAGAAAAAAGTTAAAAATATGGAATAAGAAGACAATACCTCAATACAAAATAAAGGGAAAGAAATTAGGGGTGGGGGAAGTACAAAATTAGTAAGATAAATAGTAACAAGTCAAATAATTAAAATATGAATAGGCTAAACCCAGTTAAAAACATTGATTCAGTTTTTTAAAAATCAGCTATAGGCTGATATGGGATTTTTTAAAGGATGAAAAAACTGCACTAGGCAAATAGCAAAAGAAAACTTATGTAGCTTTGGTGCTATCATCTCAAAATTAGACTTTATTATAGTATTATTAAAGATGGAGAAGACCACTAAAGGTAAAAGGATCAATTTATTAGGAATATATACAATTTTAGATTTGTATATGCTTTATAAAATGACCTCAAAATGTATAAACTCTAGGGCTGAACCAACAAATTGAACAGCAGTGCGTGATTTTAACAGCTCTCAATTACTAATAAATCAACTAGACAAAAAATGAATGAAAACACAGTTTTGAATAATGCAATTAACAATGCTGATTCGATGAACATATTTAGAATAATCAACAGAATATTCTTAAGCATTGTGTATTAGCAAAAATTGACCATGTATTAGGCATGAAGTAAGTTACAATAAATTTCAAAAAATTAGTATTAAATGAATAATAAGAAATAACTTAGGTTCATGGTTTTACAAGTTTAAAAAAACTTCATAGATGAAATAAAAACATACTTAGTACCTAATTATAAATACTACATTTGGAAAAATTGGGTGATGCAGCAGAAAGAGCGCTTAGAGGGAAATGGTTTTAAATGCTTAAATTAAAGTCTAAGTGTATAACTTAGGAAAAGGACAACAGAATAAACACAGTATAGAAGCAAGGAGTCAGAGGAAAGGAAAGAAATCAATGAATTAGAAAACAGAATCACAATGTCAAAGTTGTTTTCATGACAAAACAAATTGGCATATTTGAACAAGAAGAAAACAGGGCTAAAGTAAACAATATAAAGATTGAAAAATGGGTCCTAACCCACAGCAGAGATGAAAATGATAAGAGAATACCAGGAGCATCTTAATGTAGTTGAAAACAGACAAAATAGACCAAGGTCTAGAAAAGTGCCATTTCCTTAAATTGGCTGAAGAAGAAATACACAAGCTACATGGACTTAATAGTATTGAATAGAAAATACTTTTAAAATTTTTGATAAAGAACATCTAGCTCATGTTTACAGATATTTTACTCTTTCAAGGACCATACTATTTCAACATATTATACAAACTCTTCCAAAGAATATATAATGAGGGAATACTCTTCAGCTCATTTTGTGAGGCCTGTATAACTTTTATTGATACTAGAACCAGACACATTTGGTAGGAGAAAAGAAAATTACAGACTAATAGCACTTATTAAGACAGATCTGAAAGTCAAAAGCATTATTGATGAACTGAATTCAACATTATGTAAAAGATAATGCATCATGGTGAAGTTGCATACATTAAAAATCAGGAACATGACAAGGATACCTATTATCACTACTTCTATTCAATGTCCTGTAAAAAAATGAGCAAAAGACAGAAACCAGGTACCCTTAAACACATGAAACACATGAAAAGATATTTAATTTCAAGTGATCAACTAATTAAGACCACAATGAATAATATTACATCTGACAGATTGAAAAATTAAGAAATATGCAATACCAATGAAGAAGATGTACATCAAGAAGATATCTAAAGGTGGGGTTGTAAACTAATAAACTTTGGAAAGCAGTTTGGCATTATCTTGTAAGGTTAAGCATCTGTGTACTCTAAAACCTAACCATTCTACTTCTACATACATACCATAGAGAAATTCTTCCATATGTGCACAAGAGTACGTGTGTGGGAATGTTCAAGGCAGCCCTGTTTGAAACCACCCAAATGTTCGCTGACAAGAGAATAAAAAAGAGAATAAAAAATAAATTGTGGGTTTTGTAATTTTATTTGGCAGTGAGAATGACCTGAGAATAAAGTGATGATTAAATAAAGCAAGTCTTAGAAGACTTATCCCAGGAGATTGGATATAGTTCCCTGTGCTATACAGTAGGACCTTGTTTACCCATTCTAAATATAATAGTTTGCATCTGCTAACCCCAAACTCCCAGTCCATCCCTCTCTCCCCGGCCCCTTGGCAACCACATCTGTTCTCTATATCTGTGAGTCTGCTTCTGTTTTGTAGATAAGTTCATTTGTGCCATATTTTAGACTCCATATATAAGTGATATCATGTGGTATTTGTCTTTCTGTTTCTGACTTCACTTAGTATGATAATCTCTAGTTGCATCCATGTTGCTGCAAGTGATATTTCATTTTTATGGCTGAATATTATTCCATTGTATATATGTACCACATCTTCTTCATCCATTCATCTGTCGATGGACATTTAGGTTGCTTCCATGTCTTGGCTATTGTGACTAGTGCTGCTTTGAACATAGGGGTGCGTCTGTCTTTTTGAATTATTGTTTTGTCTAGGTATATGCCCAGGAGTGGGATTGCTGGATCATATGGTAACTCTATTTTTAGCTTTCTGAGGAACTTCATACTGTTTTCCATAGTGGCTGCACCAACTTACATTCCCACCAACGTTGTAGGAGGGTTCCCTTTTCCCCACAGTCTCTCCAGCATTTGTTATTTGTAGAATTTTTAATGATGGCCATTCTAATCAGTGTGAGGTAGTACCTCATTGTAGTTTTGATGTGCATTTCTCTAATAGTTAGGGATGTTGAGCATCTTTTCATGTGCCTACTGGCCATCTGTATGTCTTCTTTGGAGAAATGACTATTAAGGTCTGCCCATTTTTTGATTGGGTTGTTTGTTTTTTTGTTGAGTTGTATGAGCTGTTTGTGTATTTTGGAGATTAAGCCCTTGTCGGTTGCATCATTTGCAAATATCTTCTCCCATTCTGTAGGTTGTCTTTTCATTTTTTTAATGGTTTCCTTTGCTG